TGACCACCATACCCCGACAATCACCTCCCTACCCAAATTCAAAGGGCAGTTGGCATAAATTCACGACCAACATCTGTTAACCGGTGCAGGGTCAGCAAATAGAAACTCCATTTCTCGCCTCCGTATCTCTTCATACATCTCCATTTTTTCGGCTCGGAGGGCTGCCCGATCAATCGGGATTTCAGGGATAAAAGTTTTGGTAGCCTTGGCGTTGAAATCATCCTCTGCCAGTTCCGATTAGAATCTGGACTCATCGTACGCAGGTCGTTAGGATGTGCCTCCAGAGCGCCTGTGCCTTTTGGGAGCCATGGGGCCTGCAAATAATCAAACAAACCATCAACATATGCCCTAGCTAGTGCCAATAAGATGGTTACTCAGACTTCACCACCCAATGACACCAAAAATAGCTCCTGACTTCACTCATAACAACCCCCACAATAGCTCCATAATTTTCGTACCACGTCCGGTATAATACACCCCACACTTATTCCATTTAATGGTACCCATGACATACAACACCACCATATAACAAACACCATTCTACAACAAATATCACCATACCAGTAATACTACTCTACAACAACTATCAACAAACCAACAAGCAACTACACAACAACAACTAGCAACAACAATATCTCAACTACACAACAACCACCATCAACTACAATATTTCAACAACAACCACCATCAACTACANTCCCTGTCACAAAGCACCAAGTCAACAGTGCCCTATTGAAGTTCACGTCCGTGGTATTGCTAGAAGGTAGGAACCTGCTACAGATAACAGTCAACCAACACTTGGCCAGGTGAGTGAAGGAGATAGAGTTGAGGGTTATTTGGTCACGTATCCATATGGGCTGCCCCCTTGTGCAAAGTACATCCGTCATGACCTCCCATGTCACCCTGGGCCTGTCATGGTAATAATCGACATCACTGGTGAACGGAGGCAACCGCAACACCCGGCGAATTGTTTGAATTTGAGCACTGACCACCATACCCCGAACAATCACCTCCCTACCCAAATTCAAAGGGCAGTTGGCATAAAATTCACGAACCAGCATCTTGTTAACCGGTGCAGGGTCAGCAAATAGAAACTCCATTTCTCGCCTCCGTATCTCTTCATACATCTCCACTTTTTCGGCTCGGAGGGCTGCCCGATCAATCGGGATTTCAGGGATAAAAGTTTTGGTAGCCTTGGCATTGAAATCATCCTCTGCCAGTTTCGATTGGAATCTGGACTCATCGTACGCAGGTCGTTGGGATGTGCCTCCAGAGCGCCTGTGCCTTTTGGGAGCCATGGGGCCTGCAAATAATCAAACAAACCATCAACATATGCCCTAGCTAGTGCCAATAAGATGGTTACTCAGACTTCACCACCCAATGACACCAAAAATAGCTCCTGACTTCACTCATAACAACCCCCACAATAGCTCCATAATTTTCGTACCACGTCCAGTATAATACACCCCACACTTACTCCATTTAATGGTACCCATGACATACAACACCACCATATAACAAACACCATTCTACAACAAATATCACCATACCAACAATACTACTCTACAACAACTACCAACAACAACTAGCAACAACAATATTTTAACTACACAACAACCACCATCAACTAGAATATTTCAACAACAACCACCATCAACTACAACACCTCAACTTAGATTGGCGTAAACACCCCAAAAAATATACAACTTAGTGCCATAATTTTCGGCCAACACATGACCCAATCCAAACTATACCACAAAAATCTAAATTTAGGCCTCCAAACCACCAAACAACTTCACAATTAATTAACAATGGAGATCCAATTAATTTGGTACCAAACAACCTCATCAACATCAACTACAACAACTACAACAATGGCAAACATAAAAGAAAGCAAACAAAATAAAAAAAAAAGCAAATTAATACACTAATCCTAACTAGGATTTAACTAAAATTGCTAATCTAACAATTACACTACTTATAAGAGAAAGAAATAGAGAGGGAGAAGATTAACTTACTTGAGGTGAAGAGGGAGAGAAAATGGGGGTGTGTTAATGGAGGTTGGAGAGGAAGATGGTGGAGAATGGAGGTTTGGTGAAGAAGAAGAAGAGGGGATTTTTTTTTTTTGAGAAAAAGAGAGAGAAAAAAAGAAAGGGATGGGGAACTTACCTGGGCCGCTTCTGTATTCGCCGCGGTTCTGCCGCGGTCGCGGTGGAACCGCGGCAATGAGTTTCCGCGAGCCCTTTTGACCGCGGTTTCACCGCGGTCGAGGTGGAACCACGGTCGAAGGGCCTCTCTGATTCTAACGCCCAGATTTTTTTTTTTAATTAGATTACAAAGGTCACAATTACAACAATGTCATGGGTTGCCTCCCATGTAGCGCCTGATTTAACGTCGCGGCACGACTCATGTGAGCGAAATTAAGGTTCGCTCGACCTCTGAGGTTCATTCAAATGCAGCTCGGTCATCTCCTTAGGCTCATTCATGCCCATATACAATTTCAACCGCTGACCATTGACTCTAAATGTCCGAGAGTCATCTTCAGTAGAAACTTCCACAGCTCCGGAAAGAAACACTTCAACCACGCGAAATGGTCCAGACCACCTTGGCTTTAGCTTACCTGGGAATAACCGCAGTCTTGAGTTGTAAAGCAGTACCCTGTCCCCAGGTTTGAAATTTCGTTCAATGATTTTCTGATCGTTAAGCCTTTTCATTCTCTCTTTATATAGCCTTGTGCTCTCAAAAGCCAGATACAAATTTACCCACACATCTCTATCAATCATGAACGCTAATCTTACCGTAAATCTCTCCCGAGTAATCACAGTAATTTACTATTGCACTCTCCCGAGATACACTAGCTTACTTTATTTAGCACAATTCAATTTAGATTGCACCCAAGGCTTTGTTATTCCTAATCCCGCCTTTAAACCCGCAATTATAGATTCCTCTAATAATCTAGGAGTGGTGTTGTTCAACAATACCCTAAATATGCACTCTTTTCCAAGTTATGCACACTAAATAGGCACAGCTAATTGAGGATCCTGTCAATTAACTACAACGAACACGAAGTTGAAAAAATAAAGATTAAACGAGCAATTTGTATTCACATAAACAAGAAGTTCATCACCCAATAGGTTCCATCAATGCCTTAGACAAGGAATTTAGCTACTCATGACTATGGGAACATAAATTAAGCTTGAATTCATCATCAAATCAAAAGAAAAGAAGAAAGATGTTTAGAGTACTTTCTCACAATTGTTTTCCTTGCTAAGAAACCTAAAAAATCAATACATGCCTCTCTTGGGCGAAGTCTAATGTTTTAAATAGGGTTTAGGTCTAAAAATCCCGTAATTGACACTTTGGTCCCAGAAGTTTCTGCGCCCGCGGCAGAACCGCGGCCAAACACCCTCGCGGAATCTCTGAACTTCTGCAGCTGCTTCCCACCGCGGTTCTGCCGCGGTCGCGGTGGAACCGCGGTGGATCCAGTTCTCTGAATCTTCGGCCTGTTTTTGCACGGGTCACTTAGGAAATTTCACAGTTGGCCTCTTTTTCATCACTTTTGACTCCAAAACTGCTCCTTAGCCGTCTTTATACATATATCACCTACAAATCATGAAAAGCACTAATAAGAGCATTTTGTCATCACTTTTAGTATTAAAACTACACAAGAAGGTGATTATTTAAGGTGTGATTATAGTCAAATTCACCTATTATCAATTGGAATCGTCAAGATGAGTTCAAAACTTAAATTTCAAGTGATTTGGAGTAGCTTTAGGCTATATTTGACTTAAATTTCAGAAGATGCCCAAGGAAGAAGAACACATTAAGCTCCATTGATAGGATTCATTTGTATAATAATGTATAATATTATATAAATAGTATATAATAGTGTATAAACACAACTTATACACCATTATATCCAAGGTTAATACAATATTTACAGGTATTTGGCTTCTTCTTCTTCTTCTTCTTCTTCTTCTTCTTCTTCTTCTTCTTCTTCTTCTTCTTCTTCTTCTTCTTCTTCTTCTTCTTCTTCTTCTTCTTCTTCTTCTTCTTCTTATTATTATTATTATTATTATTATTATTATTATTATTATTATTATACACCTATATACATAGTGTATCAAGAATATTTTCACTCTGTGATTATACATCTTTATACACTTTTATACAACTATATACATATTGTACCTCTTTGTATAAAAGTGTATAACATTGTATAAAAGTGCATAAGCATCGCTGACGAAATTTTTGTATGATTTTCACTTGCAATTCTTGTATAAAACTAGTCCAAATCTCCAGCAAATAACTTCAAACTTTGTATACAACCTACTTAGACTATTTCTAATAAGTTCAAACAATACCTACTCCAAATTTCTCACAAAATCATAATCAACATTTAACAAGATTAGCATTAAAGGAGATGAGATTTTAGGTTTCTCGCGTCTGTTTTTGCGTTTTGCAGTTGTGATAGGTATGTATAAACCTGAAGATATACAAAATTTAAAAAAAAAAACCACAAAAGTATTGGTTATGGAAGAAGGCACGAATGAATGTTGACTGAATGGGGAACTAATTTTTCTTTTCAGTTTTGTTTGCATATGATTCTTTTTTATTAATTAAATTAAATATTTATGAGTGAAAAATAAGGAGAGAGCTACAATAGGGGTAGGTAGGAATAAATGAGGTTGTTATAATTAGAGGGAATAAGAAAAGAAAAGATCTTATTGATATTTGGCTACACATTTGCAAACTTGTAACTGGGCTAAAATAGTGCAAGATCAACTTATGAAGTGCATTATTCTGTAATTTTATCAAATATATATATATATATATATATATATATATATATATATATATATATATATATATATATATATATATTTTCGTATATTAGATGCAGAAAAATACAATTTTTATACACTTTACAACTACCTAATGTATATAGTTCCGATTGCGGGCTAAAAGTGATATTTGCCCAAAATTGTTCGAACACTGAATAATGAATCCGACATTTAAATTATGCACCAAACATTGGTCGAGTTGTTGAAGAGAGCACTTTTTGTAACATAAACACCCGAAATAGTGCTCGTGCAAAAATGCTTTTACGCAAAGTAGAGGGTGTTTGGATTGGCTTTTAAGCTGGTCAAATCAGCTTTAAGCTCTTTTTAGCCTTTTTCAGTGTTTGATAAAGCTAAAAAATGCTTAAAATAAGTTAAAACTGTTTAAAACAAGTCAAAAGCATTAAGCTGGGCAACTCCAACTTATTACTTTTTGACTTATAAAAAGCTATTTCTGCTGAAAAGCCACATTTTTTAAGCCAATCCAAACGGACTCCTAATCCACCCATAAACCAAAAAAAAAAAAAAACCTTTACTACGTAATAAATTACTTTGGTCTAAGCTCGATGCCTTCAACAATAAGTCCTCCTTTGAGATGCTCACCTTTGACTTCTCTAAGACACATTGTTACTTCTTTATCATTGACTCCATCACTATAAAATTCACCCAATTCAATCTCCAACCATCCATCTTCTCTGTCACGTAAAGCACGCTCTTTCCCTCCTCTATTATCAACTCTTGATCTCAATGTCTCAACCCTGTGTCTCATTAGAACCCTTTCCATTTCTTGTTTTCTACAGTTAACATAGTTACGACGTAGATATAAAATTCCTTTGGATTCTTGGTCTCCTACTTTGACAAATACCTCAGATGGCAAGGAGTCTAAGCCGAAAGCACGACCAGCCAGGTTGACAATGAGGTAAGCTCCGTATGTTGTACGTGGAGACAACATTCGAGTGTTTATCGTTCCTTTAATTTCTAGCCAACATACCATTATAAGCTCCACACCTTCTGGAAATCTGTTGCAACGCATAGAATAGGATAGACGTAATTAGGGTAGTTTTGAGGAGCTACCGAAAATCAAAGTCAAATTGTGATATTATGTCCTTACTTTTCTAATAGGAGTATATAACTAATATTTGGGATTAGTAGGCATTGAAAGAAACAGGAAATTAAAGGAGAAAGGGACCTTGAGTGAAGGAGGGGTTTCCAGCACCAGTAGAGGGGATTGCTGGACCAAACAATTGATAGCTCCCTTGCACTCAACATATAACACTTTTTACTTGATATTCTATCAATTGAAAAGGTCTGCAATAATGTTATATAAAGGAAAAATGAGAAGATGCAAGAGTTCTTTATCATCAATTTATCATTTGAGATTACTCGCTAATATTGTGTTGTCGAATAAATATCAATCTATTTGCTATCTCACTAGAAATTCGGCAAAAACCGACCAAGAAAAACCGATCGACTTTGGTCGGTCAAAAAACCGACCAAAGTTTGTCGGTTTTTCAAAATATTTAATATTTAATTTATTTATTTTTTACGAAACCGACCAACTTTGGTCGGTTTTCTTTGGCGCAAAAATGCGAGAAACTATTTTTTAGTCCCACGAAATTTATTTTTCAAGAAACCGACCAACTTTGATCGGTTTTTGCAATTAAAATAAATAAAAATTAATATTAAAAACACCGACCAACTTTGGTCGGTAAATTCGGCCGGTCATTTTAAAAAACCGATCAACTTTGGTCGGTTATTTTCGTGCGAAAATACAATTAAAGAGTATAAATAAAAAAAAAGACAATCTTAAAACAAAATGCACCAATGGTCTAGTGGTAAAATAGTATTCTGCCACAGTACACACCTCGGTTTGACTCCCTGATGGTGAATCTTTTGATTACATAATTAAAATACCGACCAACTTTTTTTGCAATATTTTTTTTTGAATTTAATTTATCGACCAACGTTGGTCGGTAATTTCCGACCAACTTTGATCGGTATATTAAAACGACCATCGAAATACCGTCCAAGCGTATTTGGTCGGTATTTACCGGATTTCTAGTAGTGTCTATGAACATGAGCGTGCGAGAAAGATTGTCCTCTTGAAAAAGAATATCATCTCACTGTTCTTGTTAGTTTACACCAGGATTATAAGCAAACCAAACGTACGTACCTTACGACCACCGTCGATGAGAAGAGGGCTAAACAACTTAAGAAACAACTCTTTCTTTGATGCAAAATTAATTGGTAACACTAATCTTGAGATGATTTGTCGATAATCAGATGGCAAGAATTTCTCCCATAACAAGTCTGATATGGCTGCATCACGAACCATAGTCGAGACCAACGACGCGTGACAAGCATCATGAGGAGAAGTGAATGAGAGGATTTGAACGATACAATCTTCTGGCAACAGGTCGAGCTTCATTATCTCACTTTCATCGATTGCCATGACTGGATATATTATAAGAATGTCATAAGATACTTAGAAATGACTCATATATGAAGAGGGAGATGTTAGAAACTAATATAATAAGGACAAAAATAGGTACTAGTTTCCTAAGGATGACGACATGAATTTAACATATGAGGACACGATCGGAGTGAGAGAGCGAGTGGTTTCCTTTATGTGCATTACTTGACCTCAGAGAAATACATTTGCCTAATTTTATAATTCAACTTGTATACTTAAGATTTGACCCGTTAAGTGAGATAACTTCTATATACCGTTCAAAGATGAGTAACGATATTGAAAATTAGAACAGTAATTAATATAGAGATGGACACGCCGAGGCAAAGCTAACTTGTGTTCAATTGGTAAATGCATTTTGTTCTTTGCCTTGGTGTAGCTGCAAAGAGTCAATATTGCTAAGGCTAAGCTAGTTTTGATAAAAGATGAAATGTGTAGATGCGGCTTGCCTAGCCTGTACGGAGTAACATTCATATGCATTTTATTCAAGGCCAGCTCAATCTAAATAGGCCCCTGAAGCAGGGTGGGCATATATTGGGTAAAATCGATAACTCGAACCGTTAATTATTTATTGGGTTATCGGTGTTGGGTTATTGGTTAACGGTTCGGTAACAGGTTAAATTTTTTTTTTATTGGGTTATCGGTTCCGGCTCGGTTTGGCAATTCTGTTATTGGATAAAACCGATAACCCAATAAGGATTAACTAATTTACTAGTTTACCCTTAAGTATATACATACTAGGGTTTCATAATTCATACTTTCTAGTTCACTCTTTGATTTCCCTATTCTTTCTCAGTTTCTCCGCCTCACGCCCTCACCAGTCAGCCCTTCAAGACTCAGGCCTGTTATATTAGTTAGTGTTTTGATGAGAGTATATGAAAAGAGGTTGCTTTGTCCCTCATTGAAAAAAGAAAGAAAGGAAGAAGTGTTTAAAAGCACTTCTTTGTCTTACATGATTTGAATATTTTAAAGATGTTTTGGAGGGAAACTAGAATTTGGCTATATTATTAATAGTCAAGATTGGGCACTTGGGGCACTTGGGCCAATTAAGTAGTCCGAATTAATATTTTAGTCACCCATTATTTGATTAATTAAAAACGTTTTAGCCTTTAATTTCAGAAAACATTTTTAACAATATTTTTTAAATTCAAAAGAAGGTGACTATTGGTTTTAAAAGGTGCCTGTTATGAAGAGATGAGTCTGTTAATTCCAACAGACTCCTAGAGGTATTATAAATACCTATATCATCTCCAAAACGATATCATCTGAAACTTTCATCTCTTTCTCTTCTACTTATTTTCTACAACTCACAACTATTCTGTTTTTGATGGGAAATTCGAGTTAATTGCTGAAACTCGGATTTCAGAGGCTATGTAGAATCCTGGAGGAATTCTGCCATAATCCCTGCAGCAAACGAAATTGGGAGGCTTAAATTCCTTAAGGAGAGTGACTACGCTAACAAGGCCTAATTATTTCGTCCCCATATTCTGTTATTTTTTCTAACAATCTTAAGGAATTTAACCAACACTGCAATGGAGGCTTCTGATAGTGATTCTGGTTTTAACAAGATGTTCGAAGTGTTCAAACTGGATCGATTTGATGGCTCAAATTTTACCCGCTGGAAAGACAAATTGCTGTTCTTTCTCACGGAGTTGGGAATAGCATATCTGCTGAGTTCTGATCTTACTGCAATGCCAGAACCTACTGCTGAAGATTCTGACGAAATTAAGGCGGCACGCAAAAAACGTAACGATGATGAGGTGCGCTGTAGAGGTTTTATTTTAAACTCACTTTCCGATCGTTTATATGATTTGTTCCGTCCTCACAAATCACCACAAGAAATTTGGAAAGCCTTGGAACAGAAATATACTGTTGTGAAACAAGGAACAGGCAGATTCCTTGGAATGAAATTTTTTGAATTTCAAATGATAGATGGGAAATCTGTCATGGAACAGGTTGATGAGTTGCTTGTTTTGATATCTAGACTTAAAGATTTTAAAGTCGATGTTTCCGAATCTCTTCAAGTGGCTGCTATACTTGCAAAATTACCAGCCACTTGGAATGATTATAGGAAGAAATTATTACATTCTTCCGAAGACTTTAATATGGACCAGTTGACAAAGAATATTCGGATTGAAGAAGAGTCACGAAAACGTGAAAATAAATATGCTGCGGAAACTAGTTCAAAGGTGAATTATGTTGAGTCTAGTAAGGCAAACAATTCAGGAAAATCTGGAAACAAGGCTGGAAAGAAGAGAAAGTTTGAGGCTGCCCCAAAGGAAAATTCTTCTAACATTAAGAAAGGTCCGTGTTATACTTGCGGAAAAATGGGCCATTTTAAGAGAGATTGCAGGTTTCGTAAAAGACAGAAAAATGAAGAAAATGCTGGACAGAAGAGGGTAAATAATGTTGAACAATAACAAGCTTCTTCTTCGGATATTGTTGCTATGATTTCCGCCTTTACCAACTTGAACATGAGTATGGTAACCGAATGCAACATGGCAGCAACTATGAAATTTGCAGATTGGTGGTATGATTCCGGTGCTACAGTTCATATATGCAATGACAAGAATTTCTTAACATTATGAAGTTGCAACAAGTGATGAAAAGGTTTTAATGGGAAATCATGACACCGCCAAGGTCTTTGGAAAAGGAACAGTTGAACTACAATTCACTTCGGGAAAGAAGTTGATTTTAATTAATGTTCATCATGTACCTGATGTTAGGAAGAATTTAATTTCTGCAAGTTTATTAAGTAAGAAATGCCTCAAAACTGTTATAGAGGCAGAAAAGATTATTTTCTCTAAGAATGGTGTATTTGTAGGACAAGGCTACTCTTGTGAGGGCATGTTCAAATTAAGTATTAATAAAGTTGAAGTTTCTGCTTATATGATTGAGTCATCTATTAATTTATGGTATGCTAGACTTTCACATGTTAATTTTCGATATATTAAGTACCTTCAAAGAAATTTAAGGTTTCACCATATGAATTATGGAAAGGAAGAAAGTCTAACTTAAATTTCTTAAGGGTATGGGGTTGTTTAGCCTATTATAGAATTCCAGATCCTAAAAGGACTAAGTTAGGACCTAGAAGAACTAAAAGCATATTTGTAGGATATGCTGAGAACTCAAAGGCATACAGATTATTGGACATTGAGTCTAAGTATATTGTGGAATCTAAAGATGTTGAATTCTTGGAAACAAAGTTTATTGGTGATTCTAATAATTCACATGAGGATACAGAAATTACTAAACAAGATGGTAATGCAGCAAGCATTGGTGATAATGCAGTAACTCAAGAAAATTGTGCAGAACCTAGTTCTTCTTCTAACAATAAAAGAAAGGCAATTGAATCTCCTGTAGAACCAAAAAAAAAGTCAAAGAGTTAGAAAAGAAAAAAATATAGGTTCTGATTTTATTTCTTCTCAAGCACTAGTCTTTTTGGTAGAAGGAAGTAGAGATGAAGTATTAAATAAAATACCCATTATTTTAAATTTAGAAGAGGATCCTAAAACCTATAGTGAGGCTATGGCTTCGCGGGATTCTTCTTTCTGGAAAGAAGCTGTAAATGACGAAATGGATTCTCTTTTATCAAATGGTACATGGGTATTGGCAGATTTACCTTCTAATACTAAACCTACTGGGTGTAAGTGGGTTTTAGAAGAAAATACAATACTGATGGTTCTCTACAAATATTTAAAGCTAGACTAGTAGCCAAGGGATTTAGACAAAAGGCAGGAGTGGATTATTTTGACACATATGCTCCCGTGGCCAGGATTACCTCAATAAGAGTATTGTTTGCTTTGGCATCAATATATAATCTAAATGTCCATCAAATGGATGTTAACACGACATTCTTAAATGGTGATCTTGATGAAGAAGTTTACATGGAGCAACCCGAAGGGTTTGTGCTTCCTGGAAACGAGAAGAAAGCTTGCAAATTAGTTAAGTCCTTGTATGGATTAAAACAAGCTCCAAAACAATGGCATGAAAAATTTGAAGTGTTATATTATCAAATGGTTTTAAACATAACGAAGCAGATAAATGCATTTATTCCAAATTCACAAAGGACTATGGAGTGATAGTATGTATTTATGTTGATGACATGTTAATCATACGAAATAACATGCAAGGCATAAATGAAACTAAGAAGTATTTGACTTCTCAATTTAAAATGAAAGATTTGGGAGAAGTTGATACTATCTTAGGTGTTAAAGTTAAAAGACATAGTGGGGGTTTTGCCTTATGTCAGTCTCACTATATTGACAAGGTTCTTTCCAAATTTAATCATTTGGGTATTAAAGAATTTAATACTCCATTTGATGCTTCTAGAAAGATGGTTGAGAACCCCGGAAGATCTGTTAGTCAATTAGACTATGCCAATGCAATTGGTAGTTTAATGTATGCTATGCACTGTACTAGGCTAGATATTGCCTTTGCAGTTTGTAAATTGTCAAGATATACTCACAATCCAAGTGGTGATCACTGGAAAGGTATAGTGAGGGTACTTGGTTATCTAAAAAGGACAAAAACTTTTGCTTTATATTATAACAGATTTCCTTCAGTGTTAGAAGGATATTGTGATGCTAGTTGGATAACTAGTGTTGGTGATAACAAGTCAACATCTGGGTGGATATTCACTTTAGGTGGAGGAGAAATTTCACGGGCTTCTAAGAAACAGGCGTGTATTACTCATTCCACAATGGAATCTGAGTTTATTGCTTTAGCAGCTGCAGGAAGAGAGGCAGAATGGCTGAGATATCTATTATTAGATATAAAGTTGTGGCCACAACCAATGCCAGCTGTTCTCTTGCACTGTGATAGTGAAGCAACTGTGTCTAAAGCATTTAGCAAAATATACAATGGAAAATCTAGACATATTGCTTTAAGACATGAGTACATAAGACAATTAATTTCGGATGGAATTATTACTGTTGTGTACATCAAGTCTAAAGACAACCTTGCTGACCCATTCACTAAAGGACTCGCAAGGGATATGATAATAAGCACAACAAGTGCTATAGGTCTAAGGTAATTTAAATTTGTCACTAGTAACGGGAACCTTACCTTTCTTATTGTTTAACAATATTAAAGGTTTAAAAGGTAATAACAAGTTATAGTTGTGACGGGT